GTCGATTAACACATATTTTGTATATTATATGTATTATATACTGTATTCTTACAATAAAGCGAGGAAAAATATTTTAAAAATCATAATACATACATGTTTTATGCATTCATGACATACCTAGTTTTTTCTTAATTTTTGATATTTCTACACTATGCCGACAGTTTTTTCAAACTGTCGCAAATCTCCCAAGACTTTTCCAATATATTTATGGAATAAAATCTGCATATAAGTGAACCCGAGCAATTCAAATCCGTGTTGTTCAAGGGTCAACTGTATCATGAAAGTCAGCTAAAAAAGATGAAATTGTCTTTGGATCTAACATTCTTCACAGAACTAAAACTCTGAGTTTGGTTTTTCCTTTGGGGACCATATAACACATGGAACTTAGCCCAGGTCTCTTACTGCCACTTCATATAAGGAAGTGAATGAGGTTTATATGAATAGTGGAGAATTGTTACTTAAAAAATTAATTTGCCATTGAAGAGCAATAGTTACAACCACATTCTATATATTTTCTTTAACTCGTTTCAAGTTAAAGTCCACATCAGTTACAAACACATTTTATATATTTTCTTTAGCTCATTTCAAGTTCATGTCAGGGATAGGACTTGTAAGAACGAAGACCTTTAGCTCACTAAATAGCCACCTCTATTCTGATGACTCATACATTTATACTTGCTAGGAACTCTGACCTCTGACCTAAATCTAACCACCTACTTTACATTACTACTCGGATTTCTTATAAGCAATCAAGGCAACATGTCTAAAATTGAACTCACAATTTTCCTCACTCCACAGGCCTAAGTCCTCCCCCAGGATTTCCTATCTCCAGGAATGGCTCTACCAGTGCTAATGGCACCTCCGTCTCCTCGGTGTTCTGCTGTATCTCCTTTCTCTAACACAATGCCTGGCACAGAGCTGGTACTTAGCATTTGTTGAATGATTATTGAATTCTTTTATGGTAACTGCCATTAAATCAGACTCTCAACTCCATCATAAGCCAAGGAAATGAATTATGGTTTATCCCAAGCAGATCTTTACTGACTCTAAAATCCAGGCTCTTTCCATCATGCCAGAGCTACCACTATTTACTCAAACAGTTGAATGCCTTCTAAAATTCCCGTCATTACTGTGCATCAACATGCAGTTAAATGAATGAATTGATTATAATTTTCTCTGCTCTACCAAATTTCTACTTCTCATACTGTGCTTCATGAATGTGTCACTGCTGGAAAATGAACACTATGTATTCAGGGCATTTAACAGCAAATTTGAGTGAAATGTTGATATCTTGATAGGAAAGATTTCTTTGAGCTCTACTAAGCATTTTTGAAAGCAAATTGTGTCAGCAGACTGAAATTACATGCAAAATTATCTAAACTATTTACATATGATAGGCAGTCACACTTTGTAGCAGATGAAGCTTTCAAAATGTGGGAGATGAAGCTGAATACGATCAACCTCTCGTCTAATTACCTCCAATCCAAGTCTCTGTGCATGGCTAAAGGTATGAAATGTGAACAATGATGGTACACAGCAGTGTAAGGCATCAGGAAGCAAGGAGGACACTTAAGAGTCCTGACTGCACATACGGGGCAGTTGCTGCATTTCATCTACTATGTTAGAGACTTACTGAGTGCTTGATGCAATAAGAGATGCATTCTTCCTGGACTTGGTCCATTAGCCTACTTTTCTTTGTATGGTGCAAGCAGAGTGGTACAGACTTTGGAGAGACTAAGGAGGCTTCTTCTTCTCTCATGCTCCAGGCCATCTTAATTACATTAAACAGTTGTTGGTTAACTAATTCCTTGGAGATACACCACTAAGTGTCCTGCCACCATACCTTAAGGGCACACAATGTAATTCCCCAGTCACATGCTCTCTGATTCAATCCTTCTCAGATCATGCTTTTGACTATTCAACAAGATCCTGAAAAATATTGGGTTGCTGGAAAAGTCATGACGTGTTTTTTCTGTTTTTCGTTGCAAAATGTGTCATGACTTTTCCGACAACCCAGTAAGTAATGAAATCTGCATGTGAACTAGAACCCGGTAGATACTACTTCCATTCTAAAGAAATCCAAGGTATTATGACCATTTGAATAATTCCAAAATTTTAAACAAGAAATAATTTTTATACGTATAGCTAGGTAAGAGTACCTCTTCTGTCTTTTTTTTTGGTTTCTTTTTTAAAAGATTTTATTGGGGAGTTGGGGGAGGGGAACAGACAAGTTGCTGTCCTTTTGTTCTTCAGTCTAGTTGTGGAAGACGTTTCACTGGCCCAAGTTGGCACCATCATTGCGCTCTTCTCGGCTGAGGCAGATCAGTCGCCGGCTTCTGGATGGCCGCTCACTGCGGCTGCTGGCCGCTCACGCTGGCTGCTGGCTACACACGGTAGCCCATGGCAACCCACTGTGGCAGGGGCTGCAGCCTATGCTGTCACTGGCGACTCACGGCAGCCCAGCTCCAGGTTGAGCTGTTGTTCAGCATCTTATCTGTAGAGGGCAGTGTCACTGGCCCTCATATGTGGGATCCGAACCGGGCCCTCTGGTGTCCCAAGCCAGCTCTTAACCAACGCGCCACTCGGCCGGCCCCCTCTTCTCTTTTTAGTTAATATGTTACCACATTCTCTCACTCTCCTCTCTAGGCCACAAATAAATATTTCATAATAATAACAATAGCTAACATTTATTGGGCACTTACTATGTGCCAGGTACCTCATTAATTCAGTTTATCAACCTCAGCACTGACATTTTGGACCTGATAATTGTTGTGGGATATGCATTTAGGATGTTTAGCATTCCAGGCCTCTACACTCACACCTAGTTGTGACAAACAAAAATTGTAAATGTCCCATGGCAGGCAAAACTGTCTTAGATATATAATTTACTTAGTCCTCTAAACAACTCCACGAGACAGTTCTATTCTCCGCAGTACAGGTGAGAAAACGGAGGCACAGAAAGATTCAATAACTTGCCTCAAGTCACACAGCCTGTAGAGACACAGCAGGTATTTGATCCAAGCTACGCTGACTCCATAGCCCTCTGACTGCTGCCCTAGGGACTTGACCCCTTTCTGACTTTAGGGCTTAATGAGAAGGGGCTTGTTGGATCCGAATCCCTTCTCGAGTTATTGAAAAGGAATTGCTTCGGCAATGAATTCAGGGACTGAAACTGACTTGAAAGAGGGAAGATGGAGTCATGACTGACTAATGCATAACTGGGTCATGGTAATTGAAGATATTTTAAAAATGGAGGATCAGCCATGTACAAAAAAAATCTGAAATCCCACAGCTTAGTAACTTCTTCTACCACCTAAATCATTCTTAGCTAGGTAGAATTTAAGCACCTCCTCTCTTAAGGAAAATATCTGGCCCACCAACCAGCATAATTGTCATCATTATATTCCCGCCTGTAACTGGAGATTTATACCTTTCAATTATAGACTTCATTTGCAGATGACCCTTGTTAAAATGCTATTATCCATATTAAGCTCTGTTAGTCTTCATTTAAATAAATTAATCAAATCAGTGAGTCATTTAGCAAGCCATTAGAAAGTAAATTACAAAACAGGAAAGTTCTGATGGCCCAGTCAGGGGCAGAGAAAATCTGGTTACAAGGTATTTTGCAGAGAAGCCATGTGTGGGGCTGCTAGCTCAGTATGGAGCACACAGGATGGGCAACGTGCTAGGCAGTGGACAGGTGGCCATCAGTGAGGAGAAGCCATGGAGTCACTCGCAGGAAAATGCCTTTCTATCCCTCCCCCCGTTCCCTACGTGACAATCTCTCAACCCTCTGATACTCTCCAGCTCTTCCTTTGACATGGAAGTTGGTCCCAGCCCATCCAAGAAGGCTGCACAGCAGACTTGCCACTTTATAGCGTACTCTGAGGGCTGACTATTTTCTCAAATAACATTGCTCTTCCTGGAATCAGCTACCCAAACTGTCAACTGAGTGTAAATGAATCTGGCTTTGCGAAAATTAAAAGTGGCTGTTTTATTCAAGGGTCTATGGATTTGCAAATCACAAATGCTACCAGGTTAACACACAAGAGTGTTCCAAAGAAAAGAGAAGAATTGAGAGTTCTCATAGTATAAAGCACTTTCTTGAGAAAAAAAAAATCAGTCTTTAATTTTTAGCTTCTGGATTGGTCCTAGATGGTAATCTTCTAGATGGTCCGATGGTCTGGACAATAGATGTCAGGTGATCTGGATAATGGATGTCAGGTGATCTGGATAATGGATGTCAGGTGATCTGGACATGTGAACATTCTTTCCGAAGTTCTTCAGAGGGTTATCCATAGGATATATATGTATCTCCAAGAATTGAAATAGAACTAAAAAGTTCAAAAGTAAGTTCCCAGGCTAAAGCAAGAATACAATTGTTTCTTCATACCTCGGCCTATGGCTTCTTTATAGTAATTTAACAGTTTGGCTATAGTGACTCCATTCTATTTCTTATTATTCACTCACTACTTTAATGATACATGGATTCCTATGTGTGGGAAACATAAGCGCGCACTTGCAATGCACACAGCTTTTTCCTGGTCCTGGCTTCTCCAAACATCTTGTGGAACACAAATTTCACCATTTTTTGTGGAATAAGAGACTTAGGGAGAGGGTGCTCTATCACTCATTGTGGATGTCATCCTTTGGGCAAGCAAGTCTTCCTTTGCTGTCTTATGTAGAGGGACAAAAAAGAATTCTAGTCTTGTCCTCCTGCTCATTACCTCAAAATAAATGCAAGTAGACAACTACTTGTTTTCTTTGATCCAGAGTGTCAGATAATCACTACATTTTTTAAATGCTTCCTATCTGGGAGTGCCTACTGTGAGAATTTTTCAAGAAAGGAATGAAAGAATAAAATGCCACTGAAATTTAAACTAGGCTCTGTAATTAAGCACTTTAAATATGCTCAAAACAATCTTCAAGCATTCAAATGCTAACAGAAAGCTTCTTCAAAAATATGAACAGAAAAGAAAATCAGACCCAAGGTTCATAACTGATATAACAGAAAAAAATTTTATTGTGGAACTTTAAAGGCCAATGATTTAAAAAAGAAAATTATCATGCGGATTAAAAAAGCTAGTTGGAGTGGTTAATTCCAAGAATGACCAGATAAACCTCACACAAGCACACTGGTTACCAAATAGACTTAAAGATAGATGGAAGATTGGCCTGTATCTGATCAAACTATTTTGCCTTTTGAGAAAGGCAGGGTGAAAGATAAGCATATACAAGCTTGGATTTAAAAAGCCCTTCTATTTATTATATTTTGCAACTATGATCTTTTAAAACAGGGGCCTTAGGAAAATCTGCTTTGGCAAGCAACTGCAGAGGCACCTGTGGAGAGGAAGTGGAAAGGCTGGGCTTATGTACAAGGGCTGCTGGCACCTTCAAAGCGCAGGGGATAGTTCACAGCAAAATGTAGTCCTAAGTAAATGGGTTTCAGGCAATTTCAGTGTTAAGATAACATCATTAAGAGTAGAACAGATTGTGCTCAAACCCTGCTGTTTATAATTAACACATTGCTTCCAAATACTCCAGGGTCCTTGGTAAATAGTCTTCTGCTCACATCCACCCAGACCAATCAGAGTATTTTCATCAGATTCCATGCTGGGCCAGCACCTGTCTGGACAAATCCAATAGAGCCAAAGAACTCCTCTCCCTGGCCAGCTAAGGAGTTGGATGAACACAGCTTGGCTTAGTCATTGTCACAGTGTCCATATGGCTTTGAAGCTTGTTTTCACAAGAAATCATACAAGTATTTTATTATGTCAAAGTTCACCGTCCTATAAACAAAAACAGATAATATGTTAGTATTCTCGCCCCTCAGACGGCTCAGCTTTGTATGTATGATTCTGGGAAGCATATGCAAAATAATTCACAACTGATGCTAAATAATCCTCTTGTACTATCAAAAGCACCACGATAGGACTGAGAGTCATTTTTAAAAATGTTGCTAGCAAAAGAGTTTCTTAAAAAAGTTTTTTCCCCTCTATACATAAAGTTTGCTTTCCTAAAAAACGGAAATGAAATGAGAACTATTCAACATTCTGTATTTCAATTATATTACAGAAAGTTTAGATTTCATTTGAAAGCTATTTGCTTTTTGTCAAATAACCAGAATAAAGTAATTAGAGATGCAAAAGTATTTAAATCTTCTTTGCTTTTGAACATTGTTTATCTTCCAAAACACCTGTTTTATCATTACATAATACATAGCTCATCTGTCCTCATTTGTAGTTTTCATTCTTTTCAATCTTAACACTGGCTGACCTGTGTGTGTATTGTAACTAAATCTGTATGATCCAAGAACACGATACAACAGACGATGTGAATGTATATTTTTGTACTCTAATGGCAAGCAGAATAAAATAGCAGGGAGAGAGAGACATATAATTATTTTCCTTTCTCCAAACTCATTCTTCACTATAAATATTCAAACTTGGAGGTTTATTGTTTGAATAAATGGTCAAAATAATTAGACATAATGATCTAGCAGTAAGTATAAAATTAAAGCCTTAAAGTATCCAATTCTGCAAAAATAATCATCCATGTGAGAACAGCCTTTTAAAGATTCACTAATTGCATGCTCTTATTTATTAAACCATCATCAATTAATGTTTTTGTCTATCATTTTGTAATACACTTCCTAAAAATGTTTCTAAGCGAATGACTGACATATCAAATATGTTTTTAAATTTGGAATGGAGAATTATAAATACTGCTTATGAAAACACATTTAAAAATAGCTCAAATGGGATGCGATGGCTATTATGGTACCTAATGGTGGACTGCAGAATACCTTAATTGTTTCATTACAACAGTGCCTCTCTGAAGAATAGCTAAACTTTTCAAATGGCATAAAAACTATCAAAACAATCCTGTTATCACTATCAGCAATAAAACAACTAAAAACAGGTATGCCAATTATTAAAAAAAATCTTATCTCAAGCATAAAGAAACCAAAGTTATTATTATTATATCATAAGACTGTATTATTTTATGTTTTTCTTTCATTCAACTCTAGAACTCCCCAAATTTAACGGAAATAAGGTAGTACCAACAAATTACTTTTTTTATAAAAAATCATGATATTGGAGAAAAGATCTTTTGTAGAGGATCTTAGGAGAAAACAGCAATAACCACAGGCAAAAAGGAAAGTGGAATTTGAATTTGTACATCTGTCCAGGTACAGTTCCCCATGACTTTGGGTCTTAAGATTATAAACCTAAAGTGACAAGGTAAAGTTGACTTAATGTTAAGTTTCACTTTTGGTTTTTTCTGCACTGGATGAAAAAGAAGTTTAGAAGAAGGTTAAGATTAAAACAATTTAAATTCCGATACTATAAGACTGATTAGAAGATATTATTTGATCAGATGCTACTTAGCCAGGCAAAATGATCAATATGAAGAGATACCTACAGTATAAAGACAGAAAAGGAGCACAGAGAATTACAACTATGTTGTGACAGCTAAGGAGAAACGTTTGTACAATGGACTAAAAGTAGAAGAGAACATCAACAAATGAAAATACTGTGACTTGTTAGTGGTAGCATCTTACTTTACTCAGTAATCTATTTGTGTAACTGTAGCATAGTTTGTGCAATAAAATTTTCTTTAATAGAATGAACGGACTGACTTAAAATCACTAAGCAATTTAAACGTATTCATTTATAAAAGCTTAACTATATTCCACTTGTCTTCTTTGCCACTGGAAAGCACTCAAGCAAACTGAATAACAGTTAAAGTTTCTGGAGGTTTTTTTTTAAATTAAATTAATTAGGAACTAAATATGTAAGATCATTAAAATACATTTACTGCACAAGATGCATGATGACCTTCCTCTATCATCGTTCCATCCTCCAGTATAAAGCGGTGACTTCCCAGCTAATCCCCACATAACTTATTCTGAGACAGGGCAGAATTTGATAGAATAACCACAAGGGCAACATGCACCACATTCCAAATCTATTATAACTTTGTGCTTCAAGGACTTGGAGACAAACAACTCACTTTAAAGAAAGCTTTAACTTACAAAGGGAGTTATGTACTTTACAAGTGCTTTCTTTGGTTTTTCATGGTTTCTGATGCATATCAGATTCATATAATTTTAAGATTTTGGATAGTTTCTATATACTATAGGAGATTCTCTCTCTCATAGAACCCAAATGCATTATTTTCTAGAAAGAAATAGGATAAACAAAAACAGTATTGGTGGCAACTTACCTAGGAGTCATAAATTAGAATTTAGAATATTTTAATACAAGCTAATTACATGGCATATACCTAAGGATTTAATTTAGCCTTTCTCCTTTTATGTCACTTTGTTGATTCTTTTACAACACTGAAATACTTCCTTCTCATGGGATACTATTTTATTTCATTTTATTTTGGTGGAGAGTTTGAGGTCTTTTTTAGTTTGGTTCTTCTGACAACATGCAACCGTACAACTTCAAGTTGCAATCTAAAGTTATCTTGTGGTGTCTTCTTCCCACTGACTGTGGAGGAATAAAACGCTGGAAACGTACACCTACCATTCACATTAAGAACAGTCCAAGGACACTTAATAAGTGTCTTAATAAGTGTCTCAGTCATCTGTCATCTGCCTTCTCCCATACTCCACCTCCATGTTCTGCGCTCCCTTTCTGGGACCAGCCTCCTACTACTTCTCATCCAAACTTTCCACTGTTCCTTGCCCAATAAAGGTCTCTATGACTTCTACCTCTTCCATGAATGGTTTTTTCTCTTCTGGGCTTAACTGAAAGTTGGCTTCCCTGAAAGACCAACCCTTCTCTTCAGCTCTTTCCTATGAGGTTAGACTCTCTCCTGTACCCCAGGCAGTCCTGCAGGTGGGGTTGCTGTCCTTGTACAAAAAGCTCTGCTTCTGAGACTCAAACCATCGCATTCGTCTTCCTTTCCATTCCAAGGTCTACATAAGCCTTAGTGACTTCACAACACACTTGTTTTTACCTTCAATGGCCTTTTCTACTCTCATGGCCATGATCACACTCAGAAGTGTACTATTGGGTTGTCGGAAATGTCATGATGTATTTTTTCTATGTTTTTCATTGCAAAAATGCGTCATGACTTTTCTGACGACCCAATACCTCTAAAAACATAAATTTGGACATTCTACCCTCTGATTCCCAGTCTCTTCCTGTAAGCTACCTGAACACCTTGAGACAACCAGTTCACAAACTCCTCCACTTTGTCCTGATCCCTGAACACTTACTGAGTATCTACGTGCCAGACAGTGAGCTATCAACCCTCTACTGGCTTTACTTTCTTTCTGCCCTTCCTAGCCTAGACTCCACAGTTCGTCACTTCAAGCGCTCACTTGCTAACATGCTCTAATTTCACCTGGCAAAACCCCAGTCCTGTGTGATTTCAATCATACCTTTTTGCTGTCCTGGTACCCAGCATATGGAATGCTGCTGGAGAGGATCACCACTTTCACAGATTGGTGCCACTGCAAATTCAAGGTCAGGAACCTCAGCTGGGCCCTCAACACTCCCAGCAAGCTGCTTTCCTTGTCAGTCCTTGCTTGCATTCCCCACAGCCGCTATTTCAAATATCCATATTCCTCTCAAACTGCTACTACTTTGTCCTTAGTCTTAGTCTCAATGTTGCCCCCTCCTTCACAGGTAAAATAAAAGCTATCAGACCAAACTCACTCAACTTCTGTTTGTTTTGCAAATATTCTGTTTTTTGCAAATATTTTAAAGATTCTGTTTTTTGCAAAAAGGTTAGTTGCCTCTTTGTTTTGTTGATGGTTTCTTTTGCTGTGCAGAAGTTTTTTAGTTTGATATAGCCCCATTCGTTTATTTTTTATTTTACTTCCCTTGCCTTTTAGGTCAAATTTATAAAATCCTTTTTGAACCCAAGGTCCAAAAGTTTACTGCCTATGCTTTTTTCCATGCAGTTTATTGTTTCAGGTCTTATATTTAGGTCTTTGACACATTTTGAGGTAATTTTGCTGTATGGTGACACACAGCAGTCTAGTTTCATTCTTTTGCATGTGGCTTTCCAATTTTCCCAACACCATTTATTGAAAAGGCTTTATTTTCTTCATTGTATGTTTTTGGTTCCTTTGTCAAAAATTATCTGCCCATATATATGTGGGTTTATTTCTGGGTTTTCAATTCTATTCCATTGGCCTGTGTGTCTCTTTTTCTGGCAAAACCATGCCGTTCGATTATTGTTGCTTAGTAGTACATTTGCGAATGCCTCTGATAAGGGGCTAATATCCAAAATATATAAAAAACTAATACAACTCAACAGCAAAAAAAACAAACAATCCAATTAAAAAATGGGCAGAGGACCTGAAAAGGCACTTCTCTCAAGAAGACATACAAATGGCCAACAGATATATGAAAAGACACTCTACTAGCTATCAGGGAAATGCAAATCAAAACCACAATGAGAAACCTCTTAAAATGGGTATCATCAACAAAACAAATAATAACAAGTGTTGGAGAGGCTGTGGAGAAAAAGAAACCCTCAAACACTGTTGGTGGGAATGTAAATTGATACAGCCACTATGAAAAACAGTATGGAGGTTCGTCCAAAAAATTAGAATTACCATATGACCCAGCAACCCTCTCCTGAGTATCTACCCCAAAAAATCTGAAAACATTTACCTGTAAACATATATGTGCTCTGATGTTCATTACAGCACTATTTACGATGGCCAAGACATGGAAACAACCAAAGTGGCCTTCCATAGATGATTGGAAAAAGAAGATGTGATATATACACAACGGACTACTACTCAGCCTTAAGAAAAGATATACTGCCATGTGTGACAACATCGATGGATCTTGAGAGTATCATGCTAAGTGAAATAAGTCAGACAGAAAAAGTCGAGAACCATATGACTTCACTCATGTGGGATATACAACTGAAAGCAACAAAAGAACAATACAAACAAAGAAACAAAAATTCATAGACACAGACAACAGCTTAGTGGTTACCAGAGGGTAAGGAGGTGGGGGGGGGGCGGTGACAGAAAAGTATCAAATATATGGTGATGGAAGGAGAACTTACTCTGGGTGGTAAACACATAATGCAATATATAGATGATGTATTATAGAAATGTACACTTAAAACCTATATAATTTTACTAACCAATGTCACCCCAATAAACTTAAAAAAATTGTTCTTATCCCATGAGATATGGAAAACTACTGAAGACTTTTAAGTAGGAGGGTAACATTCAATTTTTATAAGATCATTTTGGCTATCATATAGACAACAAATTATAAAGGGATAAAAGTAGACAGAAGACCAAATAGGAGGCCACTAGAGAAGAGATGTTTGTGGCTTAGTTTAGAGGAGTAACTGTACAAAAGATAAAAGTGATTTTGGAGGGATTGGTGGGGTCTGGGACTCATGCTTAGGTACCGGGAGTGTGAGAGTGCAGGGTCAAGAACGACTCTCAGGTTTTAGCCTGTGCAGCATGGCGGACAGACTGCAGTGCCGACCGCTGAAGTAGGGAACTGGCCGGAAGCTGGGTCATTCCTTTTTGTTGGCAGGTGGAGGGAGAGGTGCGAGTTCCTGAGTGCAGTTTTGGAAATGTATTGATGTAGGTGGGAAACATCCAACAACGGTCAGGAATATTAGAAGAAAGGTCTGGCCTTTACAATTGGGGAGTTATTAATATACAGATGGTTGCTGAAGTCATGGGTATAGCTAAAACTGCCTGGAAAAACGTATAATTTCAAAAAATAGTCATGCCTCAAGGACCAGCTATGTTTAAAGGTCAGGTGGAGAGGATAAGCTGGCAAATGAGCCTTAGAAAAAACCAGCCAAAGACTAAAAAGAAAAACCAGAGACTGGAATAATGGGCTTTAAGAGAAGAGAGTTTAAGAAAGAAAGAGTGGTCAACAGTGTTAGGTGCCTCTGAGCAGACAAAGAGCCTGAGGACTAAAGATTGTTCTAAGGAAATGGAATTCAGAGCACAAGTGGAAGAAAGCTCCTTAGGGAGGAAGAGGGACCCACCCTACTGAAGAAGAAGGATGTGCACCAACGTAGGCAGCTGAAGGAGTTCTCAACAGGCTAAGGATCACTGGTTTCGATCTCTTCTGTGGAACAGTGAATGCTGAAGAGAGTGACTACAGATGTTAGCATTTCTAGCTTGAATAAAGTCAATCTGCACTGAAAGAAGTCTGAACCACGCGCTCTGTTCTTCCATACATGAGGTGGAATGGTTGGGAGGCTAGTAGAAGATAATCATAGGAGAACAGGGACATAGAGCCAAATTGCATGAGTCTCAAAGAAGCCCCTATTTTTACAAGAATTTGGGGTTAGTAACAATCTGGAAGTGGCAACAAGAAGAACGGAGGACAGTGAAAGTGCCTGTAACACCGAGGGACTGGGGTTTGAGAAATAAGTAGTTACTACTAGAGATGACTCCAGGGGAAGTAGTATCCCCAGGTAAGAATCACGTTTTCATTAAGGCAGAATGTTAGGAAAAGATAGAAGGATATGGGGTGGAGGGGAAAAATGGGAACTTAAATCATCAAAAAAGAAGTACAGTAATACCTTGGTTTGCGAGCATAATTCGTTCCGGAAACAAACTACTCGTATTGCAAGACATCGCTCGTTTACCATGTTAAAATGTACTTGGTTTGCGAGCATAATTCGTTCCGGAAACAAACTACTCGTATTGCAAGACATCGCTCGTTTACCATGTTAAAATGTATTAGAAATGTTTTCTCGTCTTGCGGAACACTTGCAAACCAAGTTACTCGCAATCCAAGGTATTACTGTATAAAACATCACAGGGATGAGAGTGGATGGGGGCAGATGTGGGAAGAAGGAGATAGTTACTGTCCGGACACTGCTCATGTAAAGTAAAGAAGAATAAGAAAGCAAAGGTAACAAAGCAAGTTACAGAGTGGTAAATTCTATGGCAAAATTCCAGGTCTACAATTCCTGCTCCCTTCTGAGGTGATCAACGGAAGTCACTTCCCTGGATGTGCCTAGGATCACTGATGCTACAGATTACATACTGCCCACCTCAGTCTGGTTCATTGTATGTTCACCATATTGGACAGCCACCAGCCTCTGTCCTGTACATGGCTATCTCAGGGCATGACCCAACACATTCAGAGCAATGACAAATCCCAGAAATAAAGATGCTTCACTCAAAAGTTGTCAAAAGAGCCTTTTGATAGAGGCTCTTAGATACAGAGTTTTTAACATCATTGTTTGGAAAAAGAAAGTTATTATCTTATGGTCATTGAATACACTCAAAAAAACTTTTTGCTCAATTTCTTCTGTGTAAACGGTTGCCCAGTTTTATCATAAACAACACATTTCAAAACCCTCATTTTATGTTTTAGAGTCTACACACCATCAAAATGTTTCAAATATCTGCATCATATTATCATAGAACTTTTAATTCCGAAGAGACTTCAGGGTAGAGGCTGCCAACATGTACATTTCAGAACTTCAAGAAGCTGCACAATTAATTAAATGAGATCTATAAATCCATACCTAATGTTTCATGCCTATGTGTTATTAATTTTGAAATAAGTTAATACTGTCATGATTAATTTTAAAAGGATATTAAAATGAAATCTTCATATTTGAAAATGCTGGGAAAGCACTGTCTTACGGATTGCCTTGTACCACCGACCTGTCTACACGCATATTACCTCTTCACTACCAGTCTTGACAGATTGTTGTTATCCAGCTGCAACCATGGGATGAGGTCCGTTATTCATGCAAATGGCTGGAACATTTTCCAGAACAGTAAGTACACCTCACTGTGAGGAAACTTCTTGTTTTTTGATAGCTCTCATTTTGACAGACATACTTTCTTTCCTAGAACTTCTAACGCACTACAATTACTCAGAATTAGTTTCATCCATTTTACACATGACAACCCCTGAAAATGCTTGAGATGATTACCATATCCGTTCTGAGGCTTTTTTCCCCCTCACACCCCGTCCCTCATTCTGCCACTCTGCCTGCCTCCTCAGCATGTACCAATTTGTCAATGTCCCTCTCAAAACTCCAAGCACAGCACAGCACACCAGATTTGACCTGCCTATGGCAACACACAGCAGACCTACTACATCCCTTGAATGAGACACCAGGATTTTTAAAACCTTGTAGTCAGCTCATGTACTTAGGCCTTAAGCCAGGTCTCTCCCGCTTTGTTTTAATACATATGAGTTTTTTGTTGTCAGCTGTCTGTTATATCCTACCTTGCTACAGTGGGGCATTATTCTGGTCTGTTAAGGTATTTTAGAATCTTGATTGTTGCCATCTAACATATTAGCTAATTCTCCCAATTTTATGTCATTTGTAAATTTGATAAGAGGTTTCATTCTACAGTGACACTTATTCATTCTTGTCACTCAAATGATCTTTTCTTGCTTAAATGATTAATGATATTACATTAGAAGAACATTAATTTTTATATTTAGTATATCATCTACATATCATTTACATTCAAGACATTTTACATTCACAATTATTCTAGCTTACCTAGCAATAGCTCTGATGAAGTCTAGAGATACTGTGCATTTGTATTTTGGTCCATCAAGCTGATCATCATGGCCAACCACGGTTAACAGCTGCAGGGTCACTAGAGAAGTAATCTAAAAGAAAGCATTTTTATGAGAAAACATTGTAATAAGATTACATGATGTCCTAGTTTCCGTTGATAAAGATATATAACTGAATTCACAAGATATCTGCAAAGAATATGACTACTTCGGAATTTGCATACACAAATTTGAACATATGCTCTAAGTCCTAATTAATCAAACTACAATCAGTCTTTAAGGATTCCATTAGGGAGAGCTTTGTTTCATTAATGACTCATACACAACTGCTAACCTTTAAAACTACAAATAAAGCCCAGCCCTTCTCTATGTGTGAATTTTATGGAGTTTCTATTGAAATACCTCAGAATATCAAATCTACACTCCCTTGAGAACCAAGCAGTTAAAATGTGGATGTGGGCCTTTCTCACAGTGGGGTAGCTGGTTGGAAGAGCAATAAGAAATACAACCTTCAGACCTGGGCTTAGTCTTGCTTTAAAACTGATTACCATTTAGGTAGTCAGGAAAACACCAGAAGGATTAATCCAAACTAAAAACCACCAAAGATTTGCTACCACTAGATCCCTACTCACTTAAGAAAATTCCTTAACTGTACCTCCAGGTGAAAGTAAACTGATCCCAGTTAGAAGGTCTGAAATGTAAGAAGGAATGAAGTATGAAAAGTGGTAAATATGATGGTAAATCTAAATGAATTTGCCTATACAGGTGATAACAATGTATTACGGGTTTAAAACTAGGATAAGTGCACAATACCAGTAATATATAAATAGGGAATGGAAAAAATAAGGGTAAAATGTTCTAAGGTCCTGTGGCATCTGAGAAAAAAACTTAAAATATTCATTAAATTTTGATGCTGATAATTATTTAAGTATAAATATATACTTAAATTATAATTTTTTAAGTAACAATTAAGAGAATAGAATCGAGTATATACTTCTAAATTAGTGGAGGGAGTGGGAACTGAATTATAAAAATAATCCAAAAAAAAATAAGAAACAAAAGCAGGTAGGTCAGATAAAAAGTATAAAACAACGTAATAGATATAAACAAAAATACATTAATTATATTAAAAGCAAACTATTACTAAATGCAGTAAATAAAACACAAAGACTGAGTGACTGAAAAAATAAACCCCACCGTATACTGTTTAGAAGAGAGACATCTAAAAGAGAAGATGGAAAGGTTAAAAGTCAAAGGACAGAATGAGATACATCAAATACTAAAAAAAAAAGAAAGAAAGAAAAATAAAGGATCTATTAAAAGGCGATTTACAGAAAGGTTCACTTAATGACAAATGCAGGCCCTGAGCTCATATCTCTGACAATATGAGTTACTTGAAGCTTTTACTATGAAGACCTGAGACAGAACAGGATGGGCAGCCAAGGAACAATGGGGTCTTTGGGGGCGAGTAAGCACTGCTGGAAGTCAGGACAAACTTGTATCCTTCCCAGTTTGGAAACAGGGAGGAATCATGATGAGAGTAGGCCTAGAATTTTAACAAATGGGAGGATATATAGAAAAGAGTTAACTGTTTCCTATGGCGAAATACGAGTATATTAACTTCAATCCTTTCTATTTTTCTGTAAGGGATTCATTTGCTAAAGTAGGTTAGTAATAGTCATTTGAAACTCACACATTAATCTCCCTTTTTTATTAACGGCAGGTTTCTTGAGTAGTTCTTTTTAATATAGAAGAAAACATTAATTACCTTTTACTTAGCCAGTGGCATTTCCTTATAATATTCTTATAATTCTACTTTCCTGTGAGTCAAATATTATCATATATTTAATTCAGTTCTTTAACTCAAATAATATTACTCTTCAAAAAGAAACACAAAATCTGTCTTTAATCAAGTTAAAATTTCAAGAATATTTTTAGATAGCTTACAATTTTATTACTTTTACCACATTATTTACAACAAATTTCCAAAGACAGTAAGTTGAACCAGATAGTCCTTTGAAGTCACTCAGTTCTACCAGGATTCCACGAATAAATTAATCATGTAAATTGTTCAAAGGAATCAGTAGATGTAGCAGTCAAAAGGCATTTCCAAAATATTAATAAGATGATTGCTCAATTTTGGGGGAAGGGGTCTGATTTAGGAAAAGTCAATATACAAAAAAAATGTAAACTGAAATGAAGCAATTCAATTAAGATGTAATTTTTTACATTAAAAAACACTAATTTCAGAAAGCTTTTATTCATTGAACTTAACACATGTACAAAAACACACAAATACAGAATTTAGGAGAACATCACATAAAGCACTGAACAACTGTACCAACAATTTGTAAGTACTATGTCAGTTATTAAAATACTGCTAGAGTAAAACTGAAAAAAGTCAAGTACAAAGATTGACTTATGGGGTAAACATTTTTAATCTCAAACATATTAATTTATACCTAAATAAAAAGTTCTGGAAAAAAAATATATGAAACTTAGGGAAAATTATTTCTATACAGGCCTAAGTGAAAGAATATCCACTTTCCTCTTCATTATCCAATACTTTTAATTATCTAATTTTTCTTTTGCAATTGTACATCCATGAGACTCGAGGACTTGCTCTCGGTACTATGTATTCAAAGATTAACAGGATCACAGAATATGTTTATTTACTTCCTTGCAGAACTTTAAATGTTCACGACAATATGATGAAGTCCTATTTGGCATGAATACCTAAATATCTTGATACGGTCAGTGGGAATATGGCAATGTCTCTAGTCAGTGAAGTACTCAGGACCAGATTCTGAGCAGTCTCGGTTTTGTGCGTGTGCACGTGCTGCCCCACGTGAAGGAGGTCAGACCAGAGTCTTTCCTGCCTCCAGCAGCCATTCCTGTTGTGAGAATCATACCTGCTGTGAAGGTCCCTAGTGTGGAAAATGATTTAAACTAAGGCTCTAGTTCTAGCAAGAAGGAATACATTGGAATATTTTACAGCCAATAAAATTTATATCTTAGAATGATTTAATCTTTGTTGGGGGAAAGCTCTCTAAATAATGGTAAAGTATACTTGAATATGCTGGAATCTTTTTTAGCACTGTCTAATTTACAGAAGGCTTCTCATGCAACTGAGCTTTGAATTACCCTGGAACACATTTCAGAAACATACTAACAAAGAGCCTAGACAGAAGAGTTAGAAAGAAGAAAAAAAAAAGTACAGGAGGACTTACTGTCCAAACAAGATGGCAGAGATTCGTATTTACTGTACTTCCCTGCCAAGTTCAACTATAAACCCTGGAAATAACCTAAGAGGCAACCAAGGAGGGCTCTGCAAGGTACAAAGAGGAAGGTAGACTGCACAGGGACCCAGGACTGGAAGAACGATGTAGAAGCAGGGTATCTGTGACTCCCCCGCCCAACAGCACCAGGTGACCCGGGCCCAGCAGCCTCCAACCCCCGAACCCAGAATGGAAAGCTGCTCAGGTAGATTTATTCCTCCCTGACTGAACCGGAATTCTGACAAAGAGCAACGGCAATTGTAAATTCTGTATCTCAAAAAACTATCCTTCATGAATGAAATAAAAACCATCTCAAATGAGAAAAAACTAAAGAATTTGCAACTAGCACACAGACCTACTTTTAAAGCACAGCTAAAGTTCTTCAAACAAAAAGGAAATGATAAAACAAGGAAGCTTTAGCATCAAGGAAGACAGGATAATGGAAAAGAGAAGATAGGTGGATAAATCAGACTATCTTCTCATCAGTTTTCTAAATCATATTAGATTAAAAATTATAACACCACCTGATACTCAAAGACAATATTTAAAAAGTGGGAAAGTAAAGAAACCTAAATGGAAGGAAGGCTGCCATACTTCCCTGGAAATGGTAAAGCATAGATACCACTTATAAAATTAAATATGCAATAAACATATTACCCAGCCATTGCACGCTTTTTGCTTGGGCCTTTATCCCACGGAAGTGCATGTTCACACCAAACCTGTACGTGAATGTTCATAGTAGCTTTATTTGTAATAGCCAAAAATCTGGGAAGAACCCAGATGTCCTTCAATGGGTGAATAGTTAAACAAACTGTAGCACGTCCATATCATGGAATACTTACTCAGCAATAAAAAAGAATGAATTATTGATAAACGCAATGATTTGGATGAATCTCAAAGGAATTAATTACACTGCATGAAAAAAATATCAATCTCAAAATGTTACTTACTATATGATTCTGTTTATAAATTCTTGAAATGACAAAATTTTAGGGGTGGCAATTAGTGGTTACCAGGGATTGAGGGAGGGAGGCAGGAAGGAGGGAGGCAGGGTTAGAAAACATTTTAAAGTTGTAACAACAAGTTTTAAATTAAGCACTAAATCTTAAGAATGTTTAACATATTAAAAATGTTTAGTCAAAATAATGTCTTACTTTGGGTGTTGATGAGTATTAAAGGTGGTTTGCCAAGACTATTAACTATTGGAATAAAGATCCCAGTCAGCACTTTTATCTTCTGTTCCACTGCCCTTCAAAATTCCTAAGAATGACACATATATAATCTGGCATTCACTCCTTCCCTCAGGATCTAGCAGAGGACATGGACAAAACTTAAGAGAGGGGAAAACAGCTATGGGAACTAATTGATATCAGTGACCATGGGTAATTAGTGGTATAGGGACTGGAACTTATTGAGTCCATGCTCTACAGAGCAGATGTGGACATTGATAGATCTCTATCTATAGATTAGTGATGTAGACATTATGCTCGATACTTTATAGTTGATCCTAGAACATGAGTTTGAACTGCATGGGTCCAATTATACACGAATTTTTTCATTAAATATGTGTAGTACTGTAAATGTATTTTCTCTTCCTTACGATTTTAACATTTTCTTTTCTCTAGATTATTTTATTGTAAGATACAGTATATAATACATATAACATAAAAATGTTTCAATTGACTGTTTATGATATCAGTAAGGCTTCCAGTCAACAGTAGATTATTAGCTAGAGTTTGGGGAGTCGTTACACTTCAGAGTTTCGATCTTGAGAGGAAGGGTCCATGCCCCTAACTCCTGTATTGTTCAAGCATC